AATACTATTTAAATGTACTTTCATAAGTGTAAAAATACTATTTAAATATACTTTCATAAGTGTAAATATACTATTTAAATGTACTTTCATAAGTGTAAATATACTATTTAAATGTAATTTTATATGAGTAAATATAATATTTAAATGTACTTTTATAAGAGTAAATATAATATTTAAATGTACTTTCATAAGAATAAATATAATATTTAAATGTACTTTTATAAGAGTAAATATACTATTTAAATGTACTTTCATAAGAGTAAATATAATATTTAAATGTACTTTTATAAGAGTAAATATACTATTTAAATGTGCTTTCATAAGAGTAAATATACTATTTAAATGTGCTTTCATAAGAGTAAATATACTATTTAAATGTACTTTCATAAGAGTAAATATACTATTTAAATGTGCTTTCATAAGTGTAAATATACTATTTAAATGTGCTTTCATTAGAGTAAATATACTATTTAAATGTGCTTTTATAAGAGTAAATATACTATTTAAATGTGCTTTCATAAGAGTAAATATACTATTTAAATGTGCTTTCATAAGTGTAAATATACTATTTAAATGTACTTTCATAAGTGTGAATATACTATTTAAATGTGCTTTCATAAGAGTAAATATACTATTTAAATGTGCTTTCATAAGAGTAAATATACTATTTAAATGTGCTTTTATAAGTGTGAATATACTATTTAAATGTGCTTTCATAAGTGTAAATATACTATTTAAATGTACTTTCATAAGAGTAAATATACTATTTAAATGTACTTTTATATTAGTAAATATAATATTTAAATATACTTTCATAAGTGTAAATATACTATTTAAATGTACTTTCATAAGTGTAAATATACTATTTAAATGTGCTTTCATAAGAGTAAATATACTATTTTAAATGTACTTTTATAAGAGTAAATATACTATTTAAATGTACTTTTATAAGTGTGAATATGTAAAGCAATGTTTTTTAACGGCACTGACAAAGGAAACTTGATGTACCTCAAACATTAATTCGAAGTCAAATGATGAATTCTGTCTAACAATTATATGATAAATCAGCTTGTCATACCGGTTGCCTGTGCAGATGTTTGGTGGAGTTATAGGAGCAGACAGATGTTCAGAGAGTTCCTTTTTATTAGATTAAATCACAACACAAGGAGGAGGGCAGCCATGTTGTTGGAGACACAAAACATGCTACAAAAAGTTCTGTACACGGTTGCCTTGCTTACATTTGGTGTCCTGATCGCAGAAACAGAGGTCATTTCATCATCTGGCCAAGGGCGTTCATGGAAAGAAGCTGAGGTTATAAATGATACAAGACAGTATGCAGAGGGATGAAGTCGACTGGTGCGATGGATGTTTATTGCAGCGATGACGCTTCTTCTGTTGTCTCATAAAACAGTTTGGAACAGATGAAGTGAAGGACGTCTGCTGTAAAGTCGTTCTCAGGAGGAACCTCACGCCTCTGAACCTCTCTGGCTTTAGCCTGAATCAAGGTGTGAGAAAACGGGAGAGAAAAAGAAAAACAGAACAACTTTGAGGCCTGACCATCCTCCTCTCATCAGCGCTCACCTTCACCCGCTGAAGACAAAGTTTCACACAAACCCAGCCTTATTCCTGCTTCCATCTCGCTGAGCAAGCAGTGGATGAACGTGCACGTGGTCGTAACAACCAGTGGATGAACGTGCACGTGGTCGTAACAACCAGTGGATGAACGTGCACGTGGTCGTAACAACCAGTGGATGAACGTGCACGTGGTCGTAACAACCAGTGGATGAACGTGCACGTGGTTGGAACACGTCAACAAAGATTTCCATGTACTGATGAAATCTGCATTTTATAATTTAATTCAGTTCATTTAAATGGACATTCCAGCTATTTTGGAGAGGGGCTCTGTAGAAACCCTGTGAATAATTAACATCTTACCTGTTGCAGATAGCTCTTTGAACAGCCTGTTTGGAGAAATGGGTTCAAGGATCGTTCCCATCTTTAAAAGAACGTGGTTTTAACACGTGCTCCTTAAAGCTCGACACCACAGAACAGTTTGGAGAGAAACATTTAATTGTTGCGCTGCAGAGAAACGAAAGCGAACACATTACTCATGTTTTAACCTCTCTGCACTGACCCAGCTCGTTTTAACGTTTGAATGATTTTATGGAGCCCGTTCTTCTTCCTGAGTAAATTAGAAACATTTTAATCCTCAGATGAGCCTCTCAGCATCTCATCAACTAATCCTGACCGTTTTCTGTTGGAGCTCCTTCTTCACCAGAACATCCCTGTTTTCAAACACATCCACACCCTCCCTGATGGGTCCAGTTTAAATTACACATTTTACTTCCTGAATGTTCGTGTTATCCTTTAACATTATGACGATTTTAATGTTTTATTTCACCTTGTTTTTTCCTCACTCGCTCTTGTGCAAGACGGATGCTTTCCATCCTCCTCCTGCGTTTTTGCTCTCTGTCTTGTGTATCCGAGCTCCTACTCACACATCGTCCCAATTGTAAACTACTGTCATGGATCTGGTCAGCTGGACCATCAACACAATCGATCATTTTTTTTCAACCAAGCGACAGGGTCCTGGAGAGCCCTCATGCCCCGCCGAGACGCACGCGGCAGGGTACGTCATGGATCCGCGCGGGGTTTGGAAGTTGATGTGCCTTTCCGTATTGTGTCAGGACGCTGAAGATGTTTATATCATTGGAATCATGATGGCAGGCTGTCTGGCAGATACCTGTGTTATCGGCTATTAAAGAAGAGAGCGGCAGCAGTTTTGGCAAAGCTGCTGACCCTGTGTGAAGGTTTGGTTTGTGCTGCGAGCACTCAAAACCAGCTGATTATCTGACTCCCCTGTTCTGCCTTGAAGCAGGCCAACTTATCAAATGTCTCCTGGGATATGTGTAAACTAAGAAGGCTCTGCTCTGTCGCAACCCAGGACAGGACCATGGTGCTATCTGCAAGTGCATCCTGGACAAATCTCACCGTCTTGTCGTTAAACGCACATGTAATGTGTTTATAAATGTGCTGCTGGTACAGTTTTCTGACGTCTTAAATCGTGTCCTGACAAGGAGAAGGTGTGAAGCGAGCTTTTTGTAATACCACTATTCTCTCCTCATGACCTGTTCCTCTTTTCTATCTAAAAGGAAAAGGGGCTGCGCTCTCAAGGAGCAGCAGCAACGTGCACTGCGCCCATCTTTCGGACGACTGTACGACATAACCTCACTGTACTTCGGTGCAATGATAACAAGATCATTCTGATTGTTTTTGTTGCTTCGTTAGGGACTGATGTGTTTCAGTTCACAGCTGGGCCAACGTTGTATTGATGTGATGTTGTTAGGCATCTTCAAAGGTGCTATACTATTATTTATCTTGGACAAACTCCAAAGAATTTGATTTGAACCTACATGTAAAGAGATAAATATGATGTTCATAAATGGGTGTTTACAAAAATCCCTGACATGTTTGAGTTTTAGGACGGCTCTCTTTGGTCTTGGCTGTGTTTGAACCGTTAGCTGGTCAGTCCTGTTGTTCAAAGAGCTATCTAAAGCAGGTAAGATATTCATGCGTCATAGCTTTTCTGTTAAACCTCACGGCAAAAGGGCCAGATCTACCCATCAACTTTCAACAATTCCTAATTGATCTTAACATTTGGTTCAAAAATCCCCCAAAATTATCTTTTTTAAATTCTTATTTTTAAAATGATGCAGTCCTCCACGTTGGGCTAACTCCTCGTAGGGGTTAGCAACATGTAGCACAGCTGATCTACAAGGAAGCTCCCACAGTTTAGACAATCAAAAGAAAAGTCTCAGCGGACCACAGAATTACGTCTCGTTTGACAATAAATGTAAGAGGAGCTTTTTAAAAACTCTCTCCCCAAGAGTCAGCGCTCTGCGTCGATAAGGCTTCCTGTCTTCGATCGTCAAAGTTCGATTGTTAAGGCAGAACCTAAAGGCATGCAAGTTAACTACAGCAACAGTATTTACGGGCAGTGCAAGCACGAGGCGTCACTGATCCATCTCTTCTAGAGCTAATAATAGAGAAGACGGACGCAGGGTGTTTACTGGAGGCGGTGCGAGGAGTCCGGTTGGGTTCACGCTTTAATGGAACACGTACAGCTAGCATCAGGAAACTCGGAACCATAGAGGAGCAGAAAATCACTGATGTGTGAGCTTCAGCAGAATGAGACTGGATGGAAAATACTTTGCACACTTCACATTTTGGCAGTTGATTATTAAATATTTTAAATATATATTTATATTTCTGTACTTATTTATGACCTGTGCAAGTTGTTCATTTGTAGAGTTGTGTGTGTGTGTGTGTGTGTGTGTGTGTGTGTGTGTGTGCATCAGCACACTGCTGTGTGTCGTGTCTACATGTTTTTATAGCAAAGAACATTCTCATGCACACGAGTGTTTTAAACACAAGAAGCAGATCTGTCGTAGTCCAAGCATGTTTCTGTGGAAGTAGCTGCAAACTGAATGGAACATGAAATTCTCCGTGTGCAGTCTGTGGCGTAGCGCCAACGCAGCGCCCCGCCTATTTCTGGAGGTCGCACTGCAGCAGTAGTACGATGGACGGGTCGCTCTTGGCCGCCTCTTTGAACTCCTCCAGCGTGATCTGGTCGTCGTTGTTCTTGTCCATCTTGGAGAAGATCTTGTCCACCCTCTGCTCGGGCGTCAGGCCGTCCTCGTTCATTTTCATCATGATCACCGTGCCGACCATCTTGTAGATTGCCTACGAAAGGAAAAAAGATATGACGGACTTGAATTTTGATTTTGAAGTTAGGACAAACAAACAAGAGACGCCCGAACCAAACTTGCGTGAAGTGTTCAAGTTCTCTCAGAGAGCTCCTCTGCAGGGGTCAAAAGACGGCTCTGGACTTACAGAAACTAAAAGACATGCCAGAGAGCACTCTACGGCTGTTTGGACACAACATTAGTCACAAAGGGTCATATTTAAAGAGCGACGTCTCACACAGGTCAATTCAGATTTCCTGTGAACGTTTCGAGACTTCCTCACGAACGCTGTTAGCAAACTTGTGTCACAAAAGTAGGCGTGGCCATTTGAACAAAGAAGGAAGTGACATCTCTCTGCTCCACCCTGAGGAGCGTCCTGCCCGACAGAGAAAACATTTCCCCCCACGATGCTGCTGCCACCACGTGTGTCACGATACGACACCTGGAAGTCCAACGCTCCTGTTTGGTCTAAAAGCCCTGACTAGTTCAAAACGGGACAGAAGGTCGTTCCTCCTGTGAGCTTCTCGCACTCGGACAGAGGACCTCAGAAGACATGTCCTGTTTCTGATGCTGTGCTCTGGAGACGTTGGAGTGCTACAGAAATGATCTGGGGCCTTTTCCTCAACACACCTGCTTCGTAAGAAGGCCTAATATGAGCCTTCTGTAAGCAGACGTGCGCCTTTTTATTCATGTGCCTTAAATTCAGGGATGCTCAGGCGACCTGGAGTTATTGACAGAAGCTTCTCATGGACTCTGGACAAACCCAGTCCATCAGAAGTTCAGGACATGTCAAAGCCAAACATCTGAACGTTTCCAAAGAAAGAGTTCAGTTGTGCTTTTCTTCCTGGATTGACAAAAGAAGTCAATAAACAATTTTGTGCTGTCATTGAGGACAGATTAATTATAATCTGTATTAAATCTAATTAACAGAGTACGGTCCATGTGGGCCCGTCAGTACATCGTCAGAGTAACCTGAATCCTGAAAATATCAGTAAAGTCTTTCCATGTTGGTTAGTTGTTGCAGTGGTGCAGTGGTGCAGCGTGAGCGGCAGCACCGCCTCATGTTTTACCAGCTAAGTGTTTTTGCCTTTGTGTCCATTTTTCATTCTTTTTCCTGGCGTTGTATCAAACTCGTGCATTTTGTAACGACTGCACGACTTTTTGTTACTTTTGACCTTTTTAAAATCTGCCTCTGGAGACTGCACTGAGGGCGGGACGCAGTGGTGTAGTCTACACATTTGTAGTGGCTATACTGGGCTTAGAAAACAAAGTACACCAGTTAGTACAATGTAATCATCAATTTATTTAGATTTTTAAATATATTGAACATTTCAAAATATATCTCATGCTTATATTTCAATAAATGTACAACAAACTTTGGCTTTGTATTAAAAACAGAATTTATAAAACAGTATCAAAGCAAAACATTTCAAGTATTAAGTACAGAATTATTAATTATACAAAAAACATGCATGCTCAGTGTGGTGCTGGCATCAGCCTCGTTATTACTGGTTTCGGCCATCAAACTGGGAGGTTTATCTCTCCACAGAGGTTCTTCTAAAGCTGCCTCTGTGACTTTAGGGAACGCTGGTTTATAAAAACGTTCAAAAAGTGTAGCTTGTTTTCTCTTCATGTTGACTAAGCATTGACAATCATCTGCTGCGTTTCTCCACCGTAACTTGCTCCCCTCCCAGTGCTACTCCCCCAGCCCATCGTACTGGAGCAGCTGAATAACAAACCTGTAGAGTGCGCTCAGCCAATGGCTGTGAGCCTCACAGGAGGAACGGGGGAGTGTGTGCAGCAGGTGCTGCTCAGAGCAGCGGAGGAGCGCGTCATACAGACGAGACTGATGCTACAGAAGCGTTAACTGCTGTTTAACATACATGTGACGTATCACTGGGCACTTTTCATTGGTTATACCATAATTCCCAAGCATTGTTTGGTTATATGCCGTGCACTGACGTATTACATAGACTATACCATACCCATACCAATTTATTTATATAGCACTTAAAACAGCAACAAGGCCAACCAAAGTGCTGTACAAAAGAACCAAACATGCACAGCAGACAGGAAAACATAAAATAGAAATACAGATACAAATAGCAGCAGAAGCTAACTAAAATGGCCAACAGAGTAGAGAATAGACAGGACCAAAACAAATCACACCGTGTTAAAGGCAAGCAAATAGAAGTGGGTCTTCAAGCGAGACTTAAAGACTGAGAGTGTGGGAGCCTGCCGGACACTCAGTGGCAACTCATTCCACAGTCGTGGACCTGCAACAGAGAAAGCCCTGTCACCTCTGAGCTTACGACGGGTTTCTGGGACTGAGAGAAGCATCTGGTCAGCTGACCTCAGAGAGCGCGGTGGGACATATGGCTGCAGAAGATCAGTGAGATAGGATGGGGCGGAACTGTTCAGTGATTTAAAAACATACATGAGAATTTTGAAATGGATCCGAAGGTGAATGGGTAGCCAGTGCAAGGAGGCCAAAACTGGCGTGATGTGCTCTCTATAGCCTGTACCAGTTAAAAATCGGGCTGCAGCATTTTGGACCAGTTGTAGACGAGCAATGGAGGACTGACTGATTCCAAACAGAAGTGAATTGCAGTAATCAAGCCTAGATGTTATGAAGGCGTGGATCACTGTCTCAAGGTTCTTTTTGGAGAGTATAGGCTTCAGCTTAGACAGCCGTCTCAGCTGAAAAAAACAGGATTTGACCATCATGTTTACGTGACTGTTGAGTTTTAAGGACGGGTCCATTAACACCCCCAGATTAGTGACCTTTTGTTTCTCTAGCGGGGCTAGAGAGAAAAGGTCAATGTCATGGTTCATGAGTGAGCCACTGGGATGGAACAGCATGACTTCAGACTTCTTCTCATTGAAGCTTAAGAAGTTTAAAGCCATCCAGTCCCGGATGTCAGCCAGGCAGTCAAGAAGAGGCTGAATAGAGCGTGTGCCTCTGTGCCTCAGGGGGAAGTAAATTTGGCAATCATCGGCACTACAGCACTGGTGTGACGGTGGATCAGCTGGTAGAGCTGCTGCCTCTCAGTGAGAAGATTGCTGCTTAAATTCTGGTCCAGGGGCCTTTCTGTGTGGAGTTTGCATGTTCTCTCCGTGCATGCGTGGGTTTACTCCGGGTGCTCCGGTTTCCTCCCACAGACCAAAAACATGCATGTTAGGCTGATTAGTAACTCTAAATTGTCCCTAGGTGTGAGTGAGAGAGTGAATGGTTGTTTGTCTCATTTGTCTCTATGTGGCCCTGTGATGGACTTGCGACCCGTCCAGGGTGTCCCCCGCCCCTCGCACAGTGATTGCTGGACATGGGCACCGGCGACCCCCATGACCCAAAATCGAAGAAGTGGATAAAAGATAATGGATGGATGGAAAAAACATGTATGTTAGGCTGATTGGTAACTCTGAATTGTTCCTAGGTGTCCCTGTGATGGACTGAAAACATGTCCAGGTGTCCCTGTGATGGACTGGAGACATGTCCAGGTGTCCCTGTGATGGACTGGAGACTTGTTCATGTGTCCCTGTGATGGACTGGAGACTTGTTCAGGTGTCCCTGTGATGGACTGAAGACTTGTCCAGGTGTCCCTTTGATGGACTGGAGAAGGTGGTGGTAAAGATGATGGCTCTGTTTAGTCTCAGGAGCAGTGGTTAGCCCTTGGCCACACTGGATTACTCCACACACAGAGAGAAGACAGAACTGTAAACCATGATGACTCTTACGATGGGAATCCTTCGGTCGCTCTCCAACGACATGATCGGTGCTGATCAGGCTGCAGAGGGTCTACAGGGAGAGCAGTAGTTCAGACAGAGACCTGGCTGAACCAGGACACTCCTGACTCTGTTGCCTCCTTGGATGGCTGCACCAGCTGAGGAGACGGAGGTCCTTTGGTGTGCAACGTTCTGCTCCACAGTTCTACGCCACGGAGTGTTGAGGTGGGGGCAGCACTGACAGACAGGATGAGGCTTAAACTGATTAGGAGAGCCAGCTCTGTCCAGAGCAGCCCTCTGGAATGTACTGAGGTGGCAGAAGGAAGGATGCTGGCAAACCTTTTGTCCATCGTGGCCAACTCCACTCACCTCCTGCTCAGCACTGTAGAGTTCCTGAGCACCTGGTTCAGCACGTTTACATCCCTGGTGCAGGATTGAGCGCTACTGCAGGTCCAAAACCATTTGATGATCAGACTAGTAGACTTCACCAGAACAACTCGTGATTTCTTTTGTGGAAAAGGTCTTAATAAAATAAAATCCAATTTAGAGCCATGGTCTGATGGTATCTTCTGTCCTAAACATTTGTGGAGTTACACCATGGACAACTTACTGTGGGCAGTCTTACCTGTCCACAGTAAGTTGTAAGTCTTCATCTGTCCAGTCTTACCTGTCCACAGTAAGTTGTAAGTCTCCATCTGTCCAGTCTTACCAGACAGATGGAGACAAAGTCTTTCACATTTCTCTGTTATTCAAATGTCAAGCTTCAGCATAGACAAGGCAACAAAGAGGTCTCCTGTGACCTTGACCTTTGGGCCTGCGACTTTGAAACCAATACGGATCATCCTTGTCCACCTGTGCAGTTTAACATTTCTATGTCAAGGAATTATCAGTTTAGAGCGCAGACAAGAAGTTATCAATATAATGACAGACCAAAGGACAGATGGCGCCACATGACCAAAAACCACATTTTGACAGCGGTAAATGTTTTATCTCTGCTTCTTCCTGTAAAGATCACTTCAGACATTCTTGCAGGTGAATCAAGTCCCAGGTTTGCAGACAACCTTATTGCTCAACCACTGAATGAACATTTTTCTGACATATTTTAAAAGATGTACATTAAAAGGCTCTCAGATTAGACTGTTTTCTAGTTGGGTTGTGTTATAAAGTGGACCAATCACAACTCTATTTTTTTCTTTCTGACCAAAGACTATTTAAGAAAAGATGAGAAAGAGATAAATTAAAGGATGAACTCACAAACAGAGACAAGGTGCTACTAAAGTACAAATCCCAGATTAATTTGCACTTGTTGCATGTTGTTTGAATTTATGAATGGGCGGCCGTGGTGCAGTGGTAGTGGCAGCCGACCTCTGATCGGAAGGTTGGAGGTTCGAATCCCGACTTCCCACACCATGTGCCGTTGTGTCCCTGGGCAAGACACTTAACCCCGAGTTGCTCCCGGTGGGACTGGATGGCGCCTTGCATGGCAGCCTACCGCCACCGGTGTATGAATGTGCGTGTGAATGGGTGGATGGCTGGTACTGTAAAGCGCCTTGGGGCCCCTCATAGGGGGCTGGAAGGCGCTATAGAAGTAAGCTCCATTACCATGAATATATGTGAGCTGATTTGTTCCCTCAGGCTCAACCATCTGTGGTATAACCTTTTAGTAAGAACAGAGAAATCTTGTGCTGGATCCTTGTAACTGAGTTCATTAGCAAACAACAAGCTCTGAAGCTAATCTCAAGGTCGACAAATATAGATATACCGGATATTAAAACCAAGAGAGGTTTCCAGAACTGGTTCAGAATGTCTCGGTTGTCTAAGCCTCTTCATCAGTACGACATCAAAAGGTTTTTAGTAGTGTAATCAGAAACAAGCTGTGTAAATTAGTTTTTTGCTCTTGTACCTCAATGATCTCCAGCATCTCCACCCGTGTGATCTTGCCGTCTCCGTCCAGATCGTACATGTTGAAGGCCCAGTTGAGCTTCTGCTCGAAGCTGCCTCGTGATGTGATGGACAGTGCACAGATGAACTCTCTGAAGTCAATGGTTCCATCACTGTTCTTGTCAAAGGTCCTGAAGGCATGCTGGGCAAACTTGGATGCGTCGCCGTAAGGAAAGAACTGGGAGGAAACAGAAAGATTGATATTTTTTTTAAATCATTTGCAATTAAAGCCTCAGATCGATACTAGAACAACACACTGAATGCATGGTAACACATCTAAGTTGCTCATTTTTTAAATATTTCATCTGCTGTGCATCCTTTAGTAACCTTTATGCTCCAGTACTGGTATGAAATGAAACATCTTCTCTGTCTTAGCTGTCCATTCCATCAGGTCAGAGGTTAATGCACTAACTGAGTCCCACATCGACTCGTCTGCCCCTTTTAACCACAAACCACATATGGTCTGTAAGTTCTTTACATGTAAGAGTAGAAAAACCTTTCCACTTGAGCTCTCGGATGAAAACTCTTGAAGCAGATGGACATTCAAAGCTGATTCATGTCAGTCTATCAAATGAAAGGTGGCTGCTTCAGTCTCTATCAAGGACATGGAACAAGCAGGACGAGAATTTTGTGTTGCTTCAGTTTTTAATTAAAAAATGTATATGTAATGCTCTTTTTTGATCTAAATCTTTTATTGTTTGTTTTAGCATCAAGAGTACAAACAAACAAAAAGAAACATACAGCAAACAGCAAAATCCCCTCCCATATCGGATCAGCTGTACAGACACACATAAATCATACAGGTTTCAATATACGACACAAATGGCCGCCAAGTGTCCCAAAATCTCCAACAGATCCCCTCACAGTGTTTTCTAAATGAACATTATACATGACTTCTCTTATCCAGTGTTCATATGCCAGGGGATGTGCATCCTTCTATCTGTATAAAATAAGGATGTATGGGGTATAGAATATGAAAGTATGGAAGTATATGGAGGTATAATATGGGGGCCAAGATTAGAGTAGAAGAAGGGCAGCTGACCTGGGATCAGAAAGTCATGATTTGACTCCCAGCCATTCCTGCATGTTGTGGTATCTCTGAGCAACACACACAATCCCCATTTGCTCCCATGGCGCCTAATATCTGCCCACTGCCCCACCTGGGTGCATCCCAGGTGCGATGGGCTAAATGGAGAGGACCAATTTCGTCACTGTATGTTCCCATACAATGACGACAACATATAACACTTATTTTTACTTATTATACTTAAGTCTCCTGACTTGAGTTTACATTAAATGACTACAGAGCCACTGAGAGTAAATTTCATCTCAGCAGGTGCTTATCAGAAAATGTCACCAAATTTAAACAATCTCTTCCATCGTTGTTTTCCTCTGTCTTGCAGAGTAATGTATCAGAGAACAGAGACTTAGATCATCTTGTTGATACATTTACAACCTCACTGCAAGCTTCACTCGATAAAACTGCTCCGCTGAAAAAGTAATCAATCAGAGGAAACTGGCTCCTTGGTCAATTCTGAGTTACGTACTTTAAAACAGGCATCTAGAAAGCGAGAATGAAAATGGCGTTCCACTAACATTGAATAATTTTATTTATCTTGGAGAGATAGCCTGCTAACTTATAAAAAAGCTCTCCATAAGGCTACAACTGTAAATTACTCATCTTTAATAGAGGAGAATAAAAATAACCCAATGCTTCTGTTCAGAACTATAGCTAAACTAAAGAAAAGTATTACCTCTATTGAGCTGTGTATCCCTACAACTAAAAGCAGTGACGACTTCATAAGATTCTTTATACAAACAATTATTTCAATTAAGGAGAAAATTCAAACTTCCTACTATCGCCTCTGGTTCCATGTCAGATGAGACAACTTTAAAAACATCATTAGAACCTGATTTATGGTTGGACTGTTTTTGTCCTGTTGAGCTCTCTGAAATGTCTAAAATAATAGCTTCATCCAAGCCATCAATGTGTCCACTAGATCCCATCCCAACCAGACTATTTAAAGAGGCATTTCCCTTAACTAATATTGTCCTGAGCCTGGTTCTGCTAAAGGTCTCTTCATCATAAGGGAGTATTTCCTTTCCACTGTTGCCTTCATGCTTGCTCGAGATGAGAGTTCTGTGATGGAGGTAATCAAAGCAGTCTGCTCCTCAGTTAAATAGTGTTAACTTATAATATATATATATATATATATATATATATATATATATATATATTATAAGTTAACACTATTTAACTGAGGAGCAGACTGCTTTGATTACCTCCATCACAGAACTCTCATCTCGAGCAAGCATGAAGGCAACAGTGGAAAGGAAATACTCCCTTATGATGAAGAGACCTTTAGCAGAACCAGGCTCAGGACAATATTAGTTAAGGGAAATGCCTCTTTAAATAGTCTGGTTGGGATGGGATCTAGTGGACACATTGATGGCTTGGATGAAGCTATTATTTTAGACATTTCAGAGAGCTCAACAGGACAAAAACAGTCCAACCATAAATCAGGTTCTAATGATGTTTTTAAAGTTGTCTCATCTGACATGGAACCAGAGGCGATAGTAGGAAGTTTGAATTTTCTCCTTAATTGAAATAATTGTTTGTATAAAGAATCTTATGAAGTCGTCACTGCTTTTAGTTGTAGGGATACACAGCTCAATAGAGGTAATACTTTTCTTTAGTTTAGCTATAGTTCTGAACAGAAGCATTGGGTTATTTTTATTCTCCTCTATTAAAGATGAGTAATTTACAGTTGTAGCCTTATGGAGAGCTTTTTTATAAGTTAGCAGGCTATCTCTCCAAGATAAATAAAATTATTCAATGTTAGTGGAACGCCATTTTCATTCTCGCTTTCTAGATGCCTGTTTTAAAGTACGTAACTCAGAATTGACCAAGGAGCCAGTTTCCTCTGATTGATTACTTTTTCAGCGGAGCAGTTTTATCGAGTGAAGCTTGCAGTGAGGTTGTAAATGTATCAACAAGATGATCTAAGTCTCTGTTCTCTGATACATTACTCTGCAAGACAGAGGAAAACAACGATGGAAGAGATTGTTTAAATTTGGTGACATTTTCTGATAAGCACCTGCTGAGATGAAATTTACTCTCAGTGGCTCTGTAGTCATTTAATGTAAACTCAAGTCAGGAGACTTAAGTATAATAAGTAAAAATAAGTGTTATATGTTGTCGTCATTGTATGGGAACATACAGTGACGAAATTGGTCCTCTCCATTTAGCCCATCGCACCTGGGATGCACCCAGGTGGGGCAGTGGGCAGATATTAGGCGCCATGGGAGCAAATGGGGATTGTGTGTGTTGCTCAGAGATACCACAACATGCAGGAATGGCTGGGAGTCAAATCATGACTTTCTGATCCCAGGTCAGCTGCCCTTCTTCTACTCTAATCTTGGCCCCCATATTATACCTCCATATACTTCCATACTTTCATATTCTATACCCCATACATCCTTATTTTATACAGATAGAAGGATGCACATCCCCTGGCATATGAACACTGGATAAGAGAAGTCATGTATAATGTTCATTTAGAAAACACTGTGAGGGGATCTGTTGGAGATTTTGGGACACTTGGCGGCCATTTGTGTCGTATATTGAAACCTGTATGATTTATGTGTGTCTGTACAGCTGATCCGATATGGGAGGGGATTTTGCTGTTTGCTGTATGTTTCTTTTTGTTTGTTTGTACTCTTGATGCTAAAACAAACAATAAAAGATTTAGATCAAAAAAGAGCATTACATATACATTTTTTAATTAAAAACTGAAGCAACACAAAATTCTCGTCCTGCTTGTTCCATGTCCTTGATAGAGACTGAAGCAGCCACCTTTCATTTGATAGACTGACATGAATCAGCTTTGAATGTCCATCTGCTTCAAGAGTTTTCATCCGAGAGCTCAAGTGGAAAGGTTTTTCTACTCTTACATGTAAAGAACTTACAGACCATATGTGGTTTGTGGTTAAAAGGGGCAGACGAGTCGATGTGGGACTCAGTTAGTGCATTAACCTCTGACCTGATGGAATGGACAGCTAAGACAGAGAAGATGTTTCATTTCATACCAGTACTGGAGCATAAAGGTTACTAAAGGATGCACAGCAGATGAAATATTTAAAAAATGAGCAACTTAGATGTGTTACCATGCATTCAGTGTGTTGTTCTAGTATCGATCTGAGGCTTTAATTGCAAATGATTTAAAAAAAATATCAATCTTTCTGTTTCCTCCCAGTTCTTTCCTTACGGCGACGCATCCAAGTTTGCCCAGCATGCCTTCAGGACCTTTGACAAGAACAGTGATGGAACCATTGACTTCAGAGAGTTCATCTGTGCACTGTCCATCACATCACGAGGCAGCTTCGAGCAGAAGCTCAACTGGGCCTTCAACATGTACGATCTGGACGGAGACGGCAAGATCACACGGGTGGAGATGCTGGAGATCATTGAGGTACAAGAGCAAAAAACTAATTTACACAGCTTGTTTCTGATTACACTACTAAAAACCTTTTGATGTCGTACTGATGAAGAGGCTTAGACAACCGAGACATTCTGAACCAGTTCTGGAAACCTCTCTTGGTTTTAATATCCGGTATATCTATATTTGTCGACCTTGAGATTAGCTTCAGAGCTTGTTGTTTGCTAATGAACTCAGTTACAAGGATCCAGCACAAGATTTCTCTGTTCTTACTAAAAGGTTATACCACAGATGGTTGAGCCTGAGGGAACAAATCAGCTCACATATATTCATGGTAATGGAGCTTACTTCTATAGCGCCTTCCAGCCCCCTATGAGGGGCCCCAAGGCGCTTTACAGTACCAGCCATCCACCCATTCACACGCACATTCATACCCCGGTGGCGGTAGGCTGCCATGCAAGGCGCCATCCAGTCCCACCGGGAGCAACTTGGGGTTAAGTGTCTTGCCCAGGGACACAACGGCACATGGTGTGGGAAGTCGGGATA